TTTACATTGGAAAGCTTCATTTAAGAACGCACGCACGAACGCTCATTACGGATAATTTTGTTGGAAAATACATTTTGATTTTATGCGCGCGACATAAAACAGCTGAGCGTAAATGTGCTAAAGACACAAACCAAAATAACAGAGAGAAACGGAGCGACGAGAGAGAAGGGTACCAATGGAACGAACATATTTATCACGGGCGAACATAGTCTGTTCACCATTCAAAGCATATAAAATATTTAAGATTCCGTTGAGAAAGCAAGTACACACAAAAAAGGGCCTTTCTTCGTGTAATGAAATCGAAACTTTTAAATGGTCCACTTTTCCAGTTAAAAACAAATTCTTGTTTGCCTTTCAAATTGGCTATCTAGCAAAATAAGTAACGAAAGAAAAAAAAACTTGAACACCATCTAATTTTGAAGCCGACAATGGTTACGATCTGCAGCGGGTGTGTTTGGTTTCAGCTCAACATAGCATTCCATATGCTATATGTAACCGTTATATTTTTCATATTCAAATTTTACATGCCGCCATGTGTTTTACGCCTTCATTTATATATTATTCTTATTCGGCCGCATTCAGCCCATGGTAATTCTCGTAAAATCAAAATAATAAAACAATTCTTGTTTCATAATTGTACCATGTTCACAACATACCATTTTGGTAAAAAATTCGGGAAAATTGATAATTAAAGAAATGCGTGCAAGTGTTTTTCATGCGTTTCTTTCTAAAACTAAACACACAAGTCCACATATATTCGAAAGATTTTCCAAAAGAAATGAGAAAATAATAGAAAGCAATAAACAGTGTGAGGAAAGAAATTCAAGAAACAGCCATTATCGTTGTCATCAGACATGTGTCAGGTCAAAATTTCTGCGGAGTCAAATCGTTTCGGCTGTCGTTTTTCGAAAAAAAAAAACAATTATTAATTAAGCAAACTCAACCTCCGCTAAACGTAAAGAACAAAAAAATTTCTTCAATGCAGCTAAACATGATAAGATAAAAAAAAGTATAGGAGGGACTGATTAAAATTGAAAAAAATCCCCAATGTGTCTGCAATCTGCATCAGCCCATAGTTTATACATTTTTTTTAAGAAAACAAAAATATTGATTCCGACTGTAATGTAATAAATATGTAATTCGAAGCGAAAAAAATGGATGCAGAAAGTTTTTGTATACAGTCTGCACGAAGTGTATCGTTGTCGATTGAAATATTTGCCATGGCTAAAAACTTTTTTAAGAGAAATAGTTTTCTCGCTGAATTTGCCGAAACATATTTTTCGCTCGTTATTCATGAGAGCACATCAAGAATAATGAAGATTAAACAAACCATTAGTCTTTTATAATAATCGTTAATAAACAAATCTTGTAATCGTTTTTGCTTTTAATGAAGTTTAAAATAAATTTTCTTCAATTCTAATTATTTCCTCAAAAATAAAAAAAACAGAGAAAAAATATACCATATTTCCGAGTCAACTGCGGGTTAATGTTGTAGTGTGCATATTTTATCAATTATATGGCACATTACCGTCTAAAAGCAATGGAATGACACACAACACGACTACTACTACATGCAAAGAGCAATTAACGATAGCAAAAATGCATACAAAAAAAGCGATTACATAATTTAATTATCGACATTGCTACGTTCAGCACAGACAAAATAAGGAATTCACAGACGAAGAGCAAAAATATGCATCATATTTGAAGGCAGTGATTTTCATTTTCAGGCATCTTAAGCTTTTCCATGTATGCGTACATTATACAAACTCGTTTATTCCTTATTTATGTGTAGCGCGGCATATCGGCTAATTCAGCTTTTCGTTGCATAAGACATTTATAAAGATACGCATAAACGACATAACAACACTAGCCTGTGGAATGTGAAAACAATTCATAAAACAAACAGGGGATAGACTCATAATTTAACTTGGAAAATTCTGAAAAACCAATGCCATGAAAATTAACCAAGAAAATATCTATATTGCTGAATATTCTCCAATTAGCTGAACCAGAACGTGAAATGATGAACTTTGATGAGAAATAAAAAAATCACTTCAGTGGTTAAGAGAAGTGCCAAAACGAAAATTCGAAAGACACATGTAAATTAGGTAACGAAAATTGAAGATTGATAATTTATTCCCTGTTTTGTGCGTGAATTTTGCTCTCCTTTTTCAATTTTATGCTTTTTTACACTCCCATCTACTGCATTAAACGTCACACCAATAATTTGGGTTATTTTTGTTGTAAGCAACTAAGAAATATGAAGAAAAAAAAACTGAAATGATTGTCCAAATTCATCAATGTACAAAATTTGTGCGCATATATTGTAGATTCGCCATTTGGCGAATATGTTGTATGCATTTTGTTTCACAAGAATTCCCCTAGAATGCAGGCAAATTAATATTGAGGATAAAAAAAAACAAATTCATTGAAAATGGAGATAATAGTCAAAAGAAAAAAAAAACAGATGCGGAAGATGTTGTTGAACAGAAGAAAAATTTTCATTATGTAATTTTTGCGGAACATTTATTTAGCGGGTGCACGCTGCACAGCCTTACGCATACATATATTGTAACACAGCAAGTGATCGGGTGTGAATGAGAGAGAAAAAAGAACATGGAGAATCGTGTAAAGCTGTTAATGGAACATTGAATTCTGTAGCGAAATCCATGGACCGTGTATCACGATAAAGGCGACAAATATTTCTACTACTTCGTAATATACGCATATCCCATTCTTGCCCTGCAGTGCTCATATTATTATTATTATTATTCGTTCGGACATTTTCTTCTTCCCCTATGACTGTTGGTTTTTCTCCATCGTTGGTTGACTGTGTGCCTCTCTGGCTCGGGTGTAGCATTCAAAAATGTTCCTTGTCGTTTGCTTCATGACATTGAAAAATGCAATTAAATAAATTATATGCCACTTTATAAAACGTTTACTAGATTATTAACGCTGATGAAGATATTTTCACGTATTCGTACTTGCCAGCACACTTTTTTTTCTCTCACCAATATTCACCATGCTGGGCAATATGTGTTCAACGTTTCAATGTTGTAAATATAAGCGGTTCATGTTCATTTTCATCCTCCGGCCAGATTGGATGCAGTTTTTCCATGCTCTCCGTGTATTTTATATAATTGTGTTGCCGTTGTGATAAAGATGATGATGTTTACAGTATGAGAAATTTAATAATATGCTGCCATATTTTTGGCAATTGAATCACCCAACATTTCTCTCGATGGTAATATATACCACATTCATATATAATCTCGTTTTTTTCGAAATGGGTAAAGAGCCAGAGCCTCCACTCATCCTAATAAGTGCTTATTATAGTTAAATTATATACATTCGTTGCCTGGTTCTAATTAAAAATAATTGGAAATGCATATACAAATTGTGGTTCCAATGGTATTATAGTTTTGATTCAATGACAAAATGATAATTCAAACATTTAAATTATCTTTCTGGGAATTTTTGCTCATCATTGAAATAATTATTATATTATCACTACATAACATTTTGTTATTTTTCACAGATCCACAGATATTTTCAGCCGCTGGTGCTTGGCAGCTTAGCGCGTTCAATACAATGTCACAGCGACAGAGAATCAAAGAAAGGCTGCCGAAAAGAGCGTACAAAAACATATTCATACTGCTGGCTGATGACTTTTGTACTTTTGCGTTGTATTTGAAGCACACAGCGGCATGTAAATTGTTCTGGAGAAGAACAATTCATCTCCGAATCGATTTTGATCAAATGTATGATTTGAAAGAAAATTTCAAATTCACATGTTCTACCTTTCATCACATTTTTTTTACATTAGATATATACTTTTCTGGGACCTCCTCTGGATTTTTGCCCTCCTTTAAAATCGCGCACACCTACGATTTAGAAACCAATAAAATTCAATTTCAAGTAGAATATTGTTATTTCAATGTTTTTTTTGTTTTGCATTCATAATAAGGCATTGTAGCAACAGCTGCCAAAACCGAAACTAGTGAGAACATTTTCCAAAAGTGGGATGATTTGTGATTCAATCATTATCATAACAAATTCCATGAATAAAGTAGTTTCATCATATACATAACGTCTGGTTTTATCGTCGCAATCGGAATATGTGGGCACATAAATAATAATGGGAATTATATGAGGTGCAACTATATGTTTTCACCGTTGCTGAAATGATGAAATCAGAATTCTGAAGATATTCATTTCAGCATTTAAAAGATTTAGATGAAATTTTAATCGAAACCATAATCAGGGCAAAACCATTGCAACTGATATAGTCACTATGGTGTCTGAACGATCCATTTATTTTCATGTGAAACACCAAATGATATCTTTATTTATTTGGTAGGTATTTTCCATGCACATCTAGATATCAAGTCATTTCGAATTTATTATGTTATGGATTGAAGTCCATTTCTTGTATATGAGCAAATAATTTAAATTGCAGGCGATAGTTTATGCATCACAGTGTCGGTAATGATGGTAATGATGACAATGATGATGAAGATATGCATGCAATTTAATAAAAAAAAAGTCAACCATTATATACCCAAGGATGATTGCTAGTCTTCTACTTATCTATCCTTACATTTGAATTATTAATTTGAGCAAAAACACCATCAATTGAACTAATTCATTTCATTCTTTAATATTTTACGAATTTTTCTTTGTAGACACATTTTTTAAATAAATATTGAGGTTTTTTCTGAATTGTCAGACATCATATTGACAAATTTTCAGTCAGATGGATCAGCTCAGCCAGATATCGTCAGGAGCTGAAATGGAGTGAAGCAATGTAAGTTTAATTATGACCATAACAATCACTTCTATTGTTGTCACTCCATTTCAGCTCCTGACGATATCTGGCTGAGCTGATTCATCTGACTGATAATATCTCAATATAATGTCTGCTATTGTAGATATCTCCTGTTTAATAATAATGATATTTTGATGATTTTATTTGAAATAGAAGATACTTTACTTACATCTTTGTCGCCAAGTCGTTCAACTCTACAATGCAAGAAAGCCGTTTGGCCAACGCTAACGTTAACAATACGCTGTAATTCAAAATCAAAATATGGTTGCTCACTATCAGTGGTTGTCATAATGTTGTTACTCATTGTCGTTGTTGCTGTGATACTACTAACTATGTTGTGCGATGAAGCTGCTTGTGTTTCATTAAAACTGAGTGCCCCTGAAATTGGATCAAAAATAAAAATTATTATTTTAGATTGTTAACTATATTTGATTGGTTTCACATTTATTGAAGAAAAATTATGTTGCATAGTTAATTATCGAAAATGCAAAAATACTCACATCCCATTTCTAAATGGATTGTGCAATTGAAAATTATATTTGGGTCGACTTCATTTTTGAATAAAAAAAAATATGTCTTCTTAACGTCGAAAAATGTTTCAAATGATAATTAAATGATGGGCTGATAAAAAAAAATCAACATCATCAGCATAAAAACTAGTTATTAACATAACGGAAAACATAATTCTGACTTTCTAGTACTTAAAACCTCTTTTATAATTTGATTCGGTTGAAAGACCAATTAACAACATTATTATTACTGCATTTTGCTATCATCAGCATAATATTTTTCCGTTCCATTTTTTATCCGTTTACGCTGTGTATTTTTTTTACATAAATGAACTCGGACCGGAAATATGTCAATCGTTATACTTTTAAAATTAAACCCTTAACATTTGCACTGTCGATTGCAATATGCTAAAAGCATAACAATATCACTGATTGGATTACCATAAAATCACTTCCGTTCTTTTTCCCATTGTTTTTTTTTTCAGCATGCGCTTTAATTGCATTACAAAAAAAAGACAAATAAAACTGAGGATATGTTCGACATACAAAAAAAAAAAATCTGTTAAATAGTGACCAGCTCAACTGAGATGATATCCGGTTCAATCTAGATAAATGACACTCATGACTCAATGTATCTGCTCTGGAAAAATCTCTAGAAAACTGATCGCTTTATAAAGATAGAAACATCTCTTTTGACCTTTACAAAACAATGTTCGGTAGCAAATCTACCTAAATTCATCTGTACATGTTTGATGAAAAGGTGCGGATAGGACGAACTTAACACTACTCAAATTGGTCAACACAAAAAAGGTGTGGTGGCAGAGCTTTAACGGTGTTCCACCAAACTCAATGACAAACTCATAGTTACACTCGTTTTTGCATATGACCACACAAAGTATAGTTTTGCATAAATGTTACAGTATCGAAATCACTATGGTGATCCGACTTATTGAACTCCTACTCAGAAGCCTTAGATGGATACTTTTTAATGCAATATCATTTTCTTGATTATTGTTTTGTTGATTTCAAATGGAAAAATTCCAACATCATCACCGTTAATGGATAAAAGCATGATGCCGCCGCTTTCAAATTCATTGACCACCATGCACATCATAACTTACTGACACAATAGAAAACATCCAAATAAAACAATGTATAGTTGTTAAATTGAATAAAAAAGAGGCGATGTGAGCATGGTGAATATATAAATGCTATTTGGGGAAATATAAATACCACCAAGCCATCTTTTAACTCAAATAATAAGAGAAAAAAAAACATCAGTTTGAAAGCTAGAAAAAAAGAGTTCGCTTCAAAAAGGTTGTACCAAAAGCAAAACTAATTATAGCCTCAATGCAATACAAATAAAATATTACCATTTATACGAGTCAGTTTCATTTTGCCAACTTTCATGTTTTTTTTTTGTGGAGAGTTATGAAATCCGGTGATTTTTCTATTTGCCCCAACATCAAATTGATGTTATTGTTTCAATCCACTTTTTCATCTCCGCCTAACCGCGCTCACACCATTTTTAATGCTTCGTTTGATTCAGATGTTTTTTGTGCGTGTATGTGTTGGTCGAGAGAATTTTGTTCCATATTCTCGTTTACTTTTTCGTTAATTTTTTTTTTTTTGCATTTACGAAAACCGCACATGTTTATTCAAATACGAAGGAATTTTCTTTATTCATGTGTAGCAAATTATTGAACTAACTGAAGCTTATTCGCCGCACAGTTCACAAAAAGTTTCAAAACAGCGAGTGTACAATCATGAGTTTAGTTTAAGCACGATTTCACCACTGATCGGCCACTCTAGCCATACACCGCGAGATGTATGTAGGACTGTAGGTATTATATGGTTTTTCAGTTTGGAAATTGTGTGAATTCATCGTGTGTGCTATAGTTTAATCGAATGCTTGATGTATCATCAAGCTTTAGAATCGTTTTGTTAAACATTATAACTATCATTTGAAAAATTACCTTTTTTCAGATTCAAAAATGTTTTTAAGTTGAAGTGTTAATTCGCATGAAACCATGTTTGTAAGTTAAAAATTGTTAATTTTGTAGCTCATTTAAAAAAAAATGCATCAAATAATTGACTAAATGCTTTCGCAAATAATTGACTATGTATTTTTATGATTTTATCTTTAAGCCGAACTTTTCATGTTGACTTTAAACTCTTGGGCTTAACATTCACAACTTTTTTTATACGTTGTGTGAATGTAATGTGGGTTTTTATAAGTTTATTTCAACTTTCAAGTATTATCAAGAGTGTTTCTACTGAAAATATACATCAAGCTCTTCTACCAAACCTTTTGGCAGTGTATATATTATTTTATGTTAAAAGAAATACGTACGGTATGGCAAACGTTGCATAAAATGACCGTACAAGCAACATAAAATTGGTTGTTGGTGCCTATTGCTGTTTGTGAAACGAAGACCCGACAACGTATAAAGAAAATTCCATATGGATATTTATTATATACTTTGTTAAATGCATTTTACTAAGTTTGAGCAAAAATGGGAGCTTAACGAAACAAAACAAAACGAAGAGGCCATCATTAATGTGGAGTGTGTGGATGTGTTATTTCTTAACGGTTAGTTGGGAAATTGCACATATTTTGCTTTTCTTGTTTTTCATGTTTACGCTCTAAAGCTCTTGGAAACACTTAGTCACTTTTTAGATGAAACACAAACATTCATCGATGGATGAAAGAAATCGAATTTAAAAATACAGAAAAATCAATATTCCGAAAATTGATTTTCCTTATGAAATTCGTGGTGTATCGTAGAGAAGACACATTCGTCAATGTATTAAGCTTAGATCAATTTTATGCTGTGAATAATGGCATTTCACGCTGCCTTGAGCTGAGGTTGATATGTGTCATCAATGCGATCACCACCACGATAATGGAGGTTCAATATGGAACAATGAGTGGCCATACATTCAAAACAAAAATATATATCATCAGGAATTGACCGAAAATAGGCAAAACAGTGACGACGGTTAAAGTAAACAAAGTAGGAGATGAAAAGAGAAAAGGAATGTCTCAAAATCTCTTGTGCCCATTTGAGAGCAAAAGCTACTTATATTGGCTTCAAAATGTGTATATATACATACGTAGTAAATCTGATGAAAAACAGCATTTTCCAATTTGCCATTGTATCTTGACATTATCTTCATCTTTGTGCTGCTTTATCGAGCTCATGGCACGGTATGGTATGGCATTGCATCGTACACATGCTTCCTTGATCTTTTGTAACAATGTCTGTTTTTTCTTCATCATCGTCACACTTCAGAGTTCAGACTGCTGGCAATTTTTTGTGCCTTTATATTTTCAATTTTCTCTAGCATTCTTTTCTATATTCAATTGTGACAAATTATGGTCCGTTACACATTTACTGGGTTAGTATGTGAGTGTGAGTGTGTTTGTTATTCTCCTGAACAAACAGTTTTCTTAGTAAAATTGAATATACGGTAACATGCATAATGATTCTGTAAAGCATCTTATTTCATACCAGAATATACCGTGAATCATACTCTCGATGCGTTCTTTTGAATGCCTGACGATTGTCTTGTGAAACAATATTGCTTTACATCTAAACAACTTTCGTGTGCACTTGCCTTGAAGCAAACCTCAGCTTCATACATGGCAATGTTGTCATAGTTCACCCGATAACTGTCAGTGACAACAGTATGCCAAATTTGTGACATCACAATGCCAATGTATAAGCGCATAAGATGTGTGCAATGAATAAAATGGAAAAAAATCAATATATTGATATGCACCAGTAGTATATAGTGATTTAATACAAAAATTCCACTCACTTCTAATGTGATTAATAGATTTTAGTTAGACAATCATTTCATTTTCACACCAGATATATTTCGGTTCGTGTTTTATAGATTGCGCACTAATGTCAACATTTCTCTCATTTATATTTCTATTTGTAATAGAGAGAAAAGCAATGGAGTCAAGCAATCATAACAAAATAAGTGTTCCGAATCAAAAGTACTTTGAAATATAAAATTTACAAAACAAATCGAAACAAAAACATAGAGTGCCGCTTCTAACTTTCTTCATTCAAATATAGAAGTTGTGTTGTTTGTTTCATTTGTTCTGGATTGACTTGTCATATGCAAAAAAGGAGAATTTGATGCTTTTGTGAAAAATTCATTTATTATTTCAAGACTTTTGCTTTTGAGAGACAATTGACAAATGCGTTAACAAAAAGAGTCTAAAAGAACCTGATCAAACATGCAAATTGAAAATCTTTGAAAATGGAGAAAAAAGTAAAATCCCCTTTCAGAATTAATAAAATGCTTACGGATTTGTGCAAATTTATAATTCCCTCTGATTTTATTTGGAGCCGTTTTACAATTTTTTTTGTGGATTAGTCATTCAAATGGAATTTGTTTGGTTATATATAGGCCAAGTGTTATTTCAGTATCCATTGACAATAGGAAGTTTTTCGTTGACAATTGTCTGTTTATTGTGAATTTGGTGGGCAATTTTATGCATTCAATGACACAATTTGTGTAGGTAATCATTTTTGTAATAAAGATTGCAATTTAGCTACAGAGATAATTCACTTTTACTGTCTATATTGGATTTTCATATTTTAAAATGCTTCGACAAACCGATAATTAGCCTGATTCTAATTCATCAAAATGCTGTGAACAGCTCAATTAAAAAAAATCCCCCAATTTATACATATTATACTTGCTGAATGTCATGTATTCGCATATTTTGTCAGTTAATATATAAACAGAATGAAAACAATGTCATATAAACACAATAGAACAATGCGTATATGACGCAGTCGGTTTTTAATTGATTTAAAATCCAGCAGAAGTTTTAGATATACTTAACCCTTAACAGCATATGATCATCGGTCGACTAGTATCAGCTAGTTGATTAGAGGGAGAATTTTGAAACCATATCAAAGCAAAATTTGTAAGGGTAATTGGGATCCTCGGAAGCTATTGGACCTTTTTTACTGTTCATTTTTTCCAATCCAGCCATTTTAAAATTTGCTGGGATCCCCCGCGATTTTTATCTTCAAATGATTTTTATCTTCAAAAGAAAATAGATTTGGGTGTTAAAATAAGTCAATAAATCATATGTTTCTACCTGCTTTTGCTATGACAATGTCTAATCTTATGAAATGATTGTGTGAAGACATAAATTTGAATTGTGAATTTTTAACTTGAAGCAATAAAATATTTCTAATTTAGATAAACAAGTTATAAAAATATTGCGTTCATTCAATAAAAATGTGATTACTTTCTGTGTACGACAACAGATAAGATGACGTATTGCGTCAGTAATATTTAGCTTTAAATATCCATTGCGATATCAATTTTCGTTTAGTTTGTTTGAAACACAATCAAATCACAAATCGCAGACTTGGAGAATTCATTTTTTCATCATGAAGTATTTTATTTGTTTCGCTATTTTTGCAGCAGTCATATTGACAATAAATTGTCAAACAATTAAATTAACGGTGTGTGGTTCAGACGGCTTTACATATACCGATACTTGTTTGCTTGAAATAGCACAATGGCAGCTTCCAAATTTAACTTATACGGATGGAGCATGCCCGGAAGAAAAGCCACAACCACCATATTTATACTGGCCGGTGTGCGGATCAAATAATGTGACCTATAACAACTCGTGCTATCTGGATGTGGCAAAAGAAAATGATACAAGTTTGTACAACGTATCAGAAGGTGTTTGTAATCCAAATTGTGATTCTTATGAGCCAATTTGCGGTGGAGACGGAGTAACCTATGATAATTGGTGCTTGTTCAATGAGGCTAAACAGAAACAACGAGGTGAATTGGTGAAACTATCGAACGGCGTATGCACTGAAAGTATTCTTTGTAACACTTTTTATTATCAGCCGCTTTGTGGTTCAGATGGCAATACGTATGCCACTATTTGCAAATTCAAAAAAGCACAACAAAGCGATTCCAGTTTAGTCAAATCATCAGATGGTGAATGTCCAGAGAAAAAAATCAAATAAAACTCTCACATCCACCGAAAAAGCATTCTCAGAACACAATGTTTAACTGAGATTAATGAAAAAGCTGTATTAATCAAAAACGTAAATTGTTACATTTTAATTTCTGAATTCACAATATTTTTTGTTCAATTTCGAAAGAAGTATGGAAGATCGAAATGGATCATGTCCTCTTTCGAAAATTTTTAACACTTTAAATAAAATAAATAATTTAAAATGTCAATAACGAGCTTTCTGTTCAAGTTCCGATCATAAATCGCCCTTTAATTTTAATAGCGTTACGCCATCGCTTGGAAGTACTTGAATTGGTTTCAAATTCTTTCTTTAGAGTACGCTTCTGATCAATAATCGATTGAAGAAAGGTATCGGTAAGATCGGTGCACTTCTAAATACTTTATTTGGAAAGTCGTGAATGTAGTAAATGTATACTTGACAATGTATTTGGTCGCCTGGTTCTGAGAATTCTAACAGATTTTTATTTGGACTAGATCCAAAATATTCTTTATTTCATTGGATACATACACGTTATTCATTCAGCAAATAAAATTAGTCATCGACAAATAATACATATCGATGAGAGCTGGGATGAGAGTCATTGACAGTAAATATTTAAGCGTAAAGATTCGCTACTGATCAATGCATCTCAGACTTAGATAAAACTAAACAAAGTAATGAAGATAATATAATTACGCATCAGAACGAAAGGCAATCAAATAACCTAGAGGATTTTATGTTCAAATGTATATTACTATTATTGTATAACGGCATACATTCGGTGAATAATTCGTATATATTTCGTCTATGTTATGTTTTTTTTTTACTTTCTTCGATTCTGTGTAGCTATTTAACATATGATATATATGATGAATAAGAGGTGAATATTGTGTATAAAATTTTATGAACGAATACATAAAAGCCCCTAGGAAATAACACTCTTATTTTTTCGATTCCGATTGCTTCGCGAGAAAAATGGTGAATGATCAATTTTATTATTGACAATTCCATACGAAAACAACCATTTTTTTAGTCCGAAAAATGGTTAATTTCGTATGGAATGGTCTTGCTGTTGTTCAGTACTTGTGTATAGGTTGCACGTTTATGCGATTTATTCACTTAATTGGCAACAATCATATCCATTTGTATCAATGATTAACACCTATTGACATTTAAGTGCATATTAGAATTCTGCATATATTTGGAGTGGCTTGAAACTTTTATTGCAGACAGTCAACACTGTCAAGGTAAATAAATACATCTATTATTGGATGTGAAACAATCCTAACAAATCTACAATTGGTATATTGGTAGCAGAGCGTAAAATAATGATGTGACCTGACTACCGAAATTGAACAGGGTACCGCCAGACACGGAATAACGGAGTGTGTATTTTCTTTTTTATTAATCAAAGCTAGGAGCCTCTTAAAAACTCTTAATTGATTCTATAAATAAAAAAAAATACAATTAGTCAACAGAATTCTACATGCTGTTCAAACATTACTTAGAAAAAATCGATCTCAGTTATTCCCAAAAAAATCTTGAGTGCGACTCTCAAATTTACTTTTGATACTTTTCACATGACTGATTTCTGCCTCTGCGTTGGACATTTTTGATAATTAGCTCACAACTTGTAAAGCAAAACTGGTATAATAGGTAGTGTCGGATGAAACTTTCTTTATCCTTTAGATCACGAAATTCTTTCTAATTCTCACACTCTTGTGTAACGATGAAGTTATTCACAATTTGAATAGATAATTGAACTACAATGTAAATGTATTCGAATTAAATTCCGTTCTTTTGAATGCTTTATTTTCACATTTATAGACTAACAGAAGTTGCTTGATACATATATCAGGAATCGATATGAGTAAAGCAGTTTAAATGAAAATAACGTTGAGTTCGCTACATCATGTGCCAAATATTATAGCAAGAATATATTTTTTACCGAAATTCTCGATTTTGTATGGGAAGTATTCCTAATTTGGATTGAAATTTCATCAAACTTTCAGAATGTTTGTTTTTTGTGAAAAAATAGCCTGTGCAAAGTTTCACGTCATTTCGATATCATATAGGCATATCTCAGACGCGTTGATGACTTTTGTATGAAAAGTGTGTCGAAAATTATTTGTATTGCAACACTAATGGAGATTCGGTTTTCTCTGGCCAAAAAACCCCCCAATACATATTTTTGAGTACCATTTTTGGAACAAAAATGGCATTTATCTCATAGGCATAACTTCAGGCGAGAAACTTTACCCTATCGACCTGTTTCTGTTAACACAGTTGTTCGTATAACATACTGGGTACATGGTATCACGCCATACATTACTATATCTAAAAGAACGGCTGATTCGTGTTTTCTGGCCCCGAAAACATGTTTTTGAAGGGTCTTAGTTTTTTGATCGATTCCAGTACTTTACCTTACAAAACTTGTGATCCTAGTTTCAAGTCATTTCGATATCAGTCAAGCATCCCAGCATACAAAAAATTAAATTTTTTTGGTCAATTTTGTATATTATTACATGAGAAATCTGTAAAAACATAATTTTATCGTAAAACTAACAAACTAATAAAACAACTTCTTCCGACTTAAAATGACTCAAACCTCATCAAGCTGAACAGTTACAATGAATTCCATTTATATATGCGTTAAAAATCACGAGGTTTTAAACTAATGGTGAGTTCATTTATTGGTATTTGTTTTTCTTCATTAGTTGTATAAATGAATCGGTAAATATCAAATACCGCTCATCATAACATCACATGTTACGTTCGCCTCTGCAAACATACTGTCATAAAAATTCTTTTCTCACTCTTTCTGTCTTTCACATAACAAATCACTTTCGATTCTACTTGCTTTCAATCAACCAAAGAAATTCCCCTCAGTTCTGTGAGGTATTTTTTTGTTTGAAGTAGTTACAAATAAATTGGCATATCTTTTGACGGAGAAGTGTTCAAGCGTTGTCTAACTAACCATATACGAATAGTTGTTTCGGTTGTTGTTATTATTTATTCGCTGTGTGTTTAGTAATAATACTATTTACTGAAGCTGTTGAATTGGCAGCTATGTACGCTATGATGTACACCGTCTAGTAAGCATGTCTTTTTAGTACGTTCGATTTCATTGGTACACTTATTTTTTATCTCATTCGGTTGAAATTCACTCTTCGAATTTATGTATGCGCTTGTTGTACATAAAATGGCTTAAAATTGCTCACAGAAAAAACCCGCGTCTGAACATAAAATGCAAACTGATTGAATGTGGTAGTTTTTTGGCTCTTAAAAATTATTATAAACACTCGCGGCTACTCAGTCGCAGTCGAGATCTTCAACTCTCAACAATCTTAATCTAAATCATAGATCATTTTAAATAGAATTTTCTTCTACCTACCAATCGAATTTTTAAAGTATTACATTTTAAAAAATATTCATTAATTTTTTTTCTTTGAAATATATTCCCGAAAAATATAGATTCTTATTATTTCATACAATTTTTAAAAGGTATAAAAATGTGGAGTTTTTTATTCATCGTAGCCAATTTGGCAATATCTGTATCTACAGCTGAATCTGATGTTCGTAAGTACAAAACAAATGTCTATCAAAAGATTAAAATTCATTTTTAAATTAATTTTAAAAAAAGAAATAAACACATAACCACCACAAGAGGCGTGTTTCGAGAAAAAGTGTTAATCTTAAAAATTGTATTCAGTGCGTGAATTTTTCCAAAGTAAATTGTGCGGTTTTTGCAATTAATAGGCATTCGGTTGTTTTGATAACGCAATCTGAAAATCAATTCACTGTTCTTTTCGTTGAAATTAAAAAAAGCGGCATAAAAGTAAAAATATTCAGTGCTAGACGTGATTCTTCATTTCCAATACCGATTACATATCTCGTGTCTCTTTTGCGTCATATTTTGCTCTGATAAAAGCAAGATATATTCATTATAATCACTACTACCAATTTATTGGTAAAGAAAGCATTGCGTATCTTTTCTCTTTCACTTATAGACGCATTGAAACATAAACTAATGCAAGCTACATCATTGAAATAAATTCATAAATGTATGCAAAGTGCACAAATAAACTGCGGAAAACATCCAGTATAATTATGATCACAAGAGTGCGACGTTCGTTAGCGTCAATGCCTAAAAAATAATGTAAAAAAAAAATCCATGGCGAATCATCAGTTTGTTTACTTTGAAAATTTGCACAATCTGCTGATCGTATGCTGTTTTGTTAAGGAGTTCAATGCAATTTTAAGTTTGTCCATCGATTTTAAGTGAAGACTCAATTCACAAACAAATAAAAAAAATCGAACCCGGCATAATAAACAACAATGACACAAATTTTTGATGCATAACATTTCATGTATGTCGTTAAAGAATCCGAATTGTCAATGAAAAATGAGCAAACAACAAATAATGTAAAAGAACATGGAAAGAACCTTGGAAACTTCCGTTCAAGAAAGCAATAAAATTGTTATCAGAACTTGGTATGAAATAACCACTCGAATTAATCTTGTTATGAAAATCTGTGATTTTCAATTGACGTAAGTGACCGTCGCACTCGAGCACATACCCGTTTTATAGTTCATTCTCTGTATTCAGTCTAAAATTATATTCAACAAGTCTAGAAAAAAATGGAATCAAGGACAAGCGCACACGTTTTTTTATTCTTTTTTGTATGTGTTGCAATTGATTAGTTTAATTCACAAATTGGAAGTTGGATTTAAAAAAAAAACACGATACACAATTTTGCAATCGAAAAAACCTGCTCAAGTAAAACATGAAAAAAAAATCGAATGAAAATACTTTTGAAGAGAACACCGTTAAATTGCATCATCCGCAGAAACTGGTTCTAAAAAGCACGTTATGTAAGTTCAATTTCAAACGATCATTATCATAAATGCAAACCATTCGAATTTTCAACCAGAAATTATGTGGAAGCCTTCAAAGAATGGTTGACAATTTTTTGTTGTATGTTTATTATTTAATTTTATAACCATTCTGCTTAATAAATTGATGATGACTTGACACTGCAATTTAATGACAAAGAACTTAGTTTAAAGCATTGTTGACCGGATTTACACCTATTTGTTTTGCAGTCGCAGGAAATTGGTTAATCTCTATTTGTGTGTGTGAGTTTGTGTGAACATTTTTAGACAGAAAATTGGCAGATATAAAACAAATTATGCGCGCAACACTCATTTTTACCATAACCACTCTCGTTCACATGTAATCGAATTTCGAAGTTTATGCACATCAAAAAACGCAATAAATGTGTTTTTGTTGCCAAACAGTGTTTCGTTTTCATGCTGTTGCACACGCACGTGCACTTTGCAGCCTGTTACATAGAAACCCTCACCACAATAACGAAAAAAAAAGAATTTTTTTTATATAATAATCTACGGATTGATGAATGAAAAGAAACGGTATTTTGAGCGCGGAGATTATCATATGATACGGCAGACGGAGACACTCAGTAAAATTGGAATTAAATTCCAAATTTGTTGAGAAATATAAATTGAATGGAATTTTTGCCATTTTTTTGTCGCAACTATATATGTATGTGAAACCGTTAAAAATTGCCATTTTAAACTTGTACTTCCATTCGGAAGAAGTCGCTGAATGCATTCTGATTTCGCGCATACACACATCATTTAATTTTTCAGTCAATAATATTAATTCTCACATGTTTGCTAATTAAAGTCGAAACTAGTACTCGCCGGTAAACATGATGCATTTAGTACTCCAACCAATCGTTCCGGTTTGGCAAGCTTATAGCGTATCCAATTTCGATTTCATGGTTGTTCGACTGGTGTTTTTTTTTACGATAGAATGACATTTACGCAATTTTCCGTTTTGAATGCACATTTACAGAAGCACTCAATGGGTCAATAACCATAAATACCATTTATTTTATCTTTCTATAGTATTCTGTCTTCCGCGAAGCATTAGAATTATTTTGTGTTGATTTATTTATTTAATTGATAATATGTGATAAGAGCGCTGTCTCGTTTGGAAAACACGATTGCCGGTTAATCATTGATGTGTCAATTAAAAACATGATTCGACATTTCAAATGATTCACTTTCATGTAGAAAGTGTGCATGTAGCACTCAGACGTACAACAGGTCCCAGTTTCAGATGTTTTTCATTTCGAACACACTTTTTGTTCGATAATAATTTTTGCATTCGATAAAGAGAATTATATCATAAATTGTATCAACCGGCTATCTCGTATGCATATTAATAGATTGATGGAAAAATTTTCAATCGCATATATGAGCACATCATCGTCGTGCTTGTACATACATCGTATGAGAATTGAGAGCAACACCGTACACATCAGCTTGAGACTATGAAACTGATGTAATTCGGTAGATGTGCGTGACAATTTTCGCATTGCATTGCGCACTCGACTCAAAAGAACTCAGTTGATTTTCTATTTAGCTTAGTGCGGTGATCACAAAGTGTGCCCTACTCATCAAAATTGGTGGGGAAATCGATATGATTAGATAATTATTGTATTTGGATACGAATCGTTGTGAGAGATTTAATCACATACACATGATCGGCATTTCTTTAGCAGTTGGCAAATTGTCTTTGCATTAAATTCGAGACGTTTATGTTTTAAATCGATTTTTTCTCGAAATCAATAATACGCTATGGAGAGTTGTTTGCATTGCACAAAAAAATTGTATTTTCTATGAGATATGTTTTTTTTTTTCCGTTTGAATATTGCCAAACGAAATTTTGTGATTGCAATTTGTAAATAGTTTCATTCACGTGTTTCTTTTAACTTGTCTTCTGTTGTCCGTCGTCTTTTGTTGCAATGTGTAAAATGTGCCTGCACTTTGATCCAAATGCAACTCTGATGTGAATTATGAATCATATGAAGAAATGTTTAGTTATTAATTTAAGTGTTTATAGCGCTAAGTCTTTATGCTTTTATATTAAAAGAAATGTTGAAAGATTTTCACATATGAAGTCAAAAGTTGTTTTTTTTATCGCCATATTCGTAATTTATTTATATGCACATGTTTTTTTTTCTTCTTTATTCACTCACTGATCTGAATGTTTATGTTTATTTTTTGTTCAATATTCTGTTTATATTTCTTTTAGCTGAATACATAATCCAATGTCGTCGATCGGACTCAAAACTGCTCGATTGTCTAAAAGGCAGTCTGCATCACTTGAGACCATATTTAGCACAAGGAATTCCAGAAATTGAGGTATGTCGATCAATCGTTTTTTTTTTTCCTTTCTACACTCGTTACATCTTTCTGAATTGTGGATTAATACAATAACTTTGAGAAACATTTCATTATTAACAAAATTACAATCATTTAAAAGCACGATTTTTTAGTAAATTTGAAACAGTGATCTGATAAAAAAAGATTTGGATTTTGCCATTTTAAAAGGGTCTTTTTCAAGTTCCTGTGCCAGAACATTCGATTAAGGATTGAATTGATGAGACAAATAAATATGCAATTCATCGTTTCAATTTTAAATCGAATTCATTTCAGTTTCGGAGTTTTGATGTATTTGTTTCATCGTTTTTTTTATAGATGCCATCGGTTGAGCCATTCATAATGGATTCACTTTCGCTTCAACTAACGGGTGGACATGACGGCTATCGTATAAATTTGAAAAATATGGAAATTTTTGGAGCAAGCAACTTCACTGTCAAAAGCATTAAGTGCGTATGCAAAACTAAAATTTTCTTTAAATAAAATCAACTACAATGATTTGTGTGTGGTTTTCTATTTGGTTAGATTGAGTGAGAATAATCGGCCATTTGAAGCTCGTATTGCAATTCCACGTTTGTCAATCCGTGCCAAATACGCCAGTTCAGGAGTATTGCTGATCATTCCAGCCAGTGGTGCGGGTGATTTTGATGCCGTACTCGATGGTGTTATTGCCGATTTAAAAGGACAAGTTTCAACCGAAGATAAAAATGATAAAACGTACTTACACGTAGATAGCTTAGCCATTGAATTGAATGTAAAAAAAGTGCGCATGCATATTGCCAAGGTGTTCAAAAACAGTCGCATTTTAAGTAGGTTTTAAATATTATCGAAATTTTATTTTTTTTCGCATTGAAGTCAATTTTATTTGTAAATAATTTTTTATTGCAGCCGAAGCCACAAATTTGTTCTTACGCGAAAATGGTATTGAAGTGCTCAAAGCTATGCAGCCGCAATTGCAGAAGAAATTATCGGTTGAATTTTCGGGCATTGCGAATCAGCTCTTGAAGGTAAAATTTTGCATTATATTTTGTATTTATTCATTAAATGCATTATCTTCTTTTTTTATTTACTTAAAGCACGTTCCCCGTGAAGCATTCTTAATAGATTAAGCCAGCAAGATCGTGATCCAAATAACAACATTTTACCACAGAAAATTTTAATCATCACCAAATTTGCACTTGACGTATGAAGTGTTGAATGTCAAATGCTCGTTTTATGACGTCAATGTAACGGCGAAGCATCTCTAAAATTATTTTATGTGACAACAACATCAACAAACCAAATAATTTTATGCCAATCCATATATTCCATCAAATATTGTTAGCGATAAATGTGTATTTTAAGTTCTCGACCACAAAACACAACTGCGTTTTAGGCGGCGTGTATATTTATCTATCACCATCATATTACTTTCTCCATTTGTGTGGATACAATACTTTCTCCTCTTTGAAAAAAATGTTACGCATTGTTCTTTACAAAACAATTCAAATCCCATTCGACTTAAGAAAATAAAATTAATTTTATGGCTATTTTAATTATTATTGATTTTACATCATTTAAAATTCGAATCTTTACCAATGCGAATCTTAAATTTTGAACAGATTCCACCATTTTCGACAGCTTCCAATCTGTCGCATCTTTGTAAATTAATTCCAATCTTCATGAATCTTCTTTTGACGCCAAACCTGCTTGAATTCTGAAATTTTTCGATTCTAAGGACAAAATTGAGTCTATATAGCTTTAAATATGATCGATTAAAAAAAAAACCACTCAAATGCACTTTTTGTCCATTTTTTCTTCTAAGAAATTCCAATTTTTGTGACCTTATTCGATACGATAGATGCTTAAAATTGATTCTGTGATGGCAATTGAGTAAAGAGAAGTCATTTTTTGAATACTTCAACGATGTTCACAATTTTTCGCAAGAAAATATGTCATATTTTTTCCAAAATGGAGTTTTTTTTTAAATCTGTCTCCCCGAACATGGAGGCATCCCAAGTCAGTATAATACTCTTTTCGAAGAGTGTACACGCTCTTCTCACACTCTCCGTATAGTTTTATTCGACTCCCTTCTCACACTCTTTCACACTTTTGCATAAAACACGTATATTGAGTGAGAAGAGAGTGTGTAATGGTATAATGCTATCACTGCTGTCACTGCATTCCAGTGGAAGTAATGTTTGTATTTTGATATTTGAACGTTTATAGCATTCGTCAGCTGTGTCAAAATACAACAGAACGACAATTGCTGTTGCAACAGCTAATTCATTTTTTTTGTATACGTTCATTTTTTTCAAAATGTCAAAAATTAACAAAATCAAAAATTATCCATCAGTGGAAAAATTTATTATAAAGAAAAAAAAAGAAAATTTTTTAGAGAAAAAAATTGAAGCTCAGTTAAAAACAATATACGTGTTTTATGCAAATGTGTGAGAAGAGTGTGAGAAGGGAGTCGAATAAAACTATACGAAGAGCAAGACGAAGAGTGTGAGAAGAGCGTGTACACTCTTCGAAAAGAGTATTATACTGACTTAGGATCCTGTAGAAAAAGTAAGAATGCAGAAAGTTTCCTCTGGGTATGTAGAACTCCTAATATATATCTAAAAAGGTTTCTAATTGATTAAAAATATTTCAAAGTATATGTGGTTTGATTTTATTTTCCTGCATACATTGAACATATAACATATAACTGGTGGTTATCAGAAGTCGCTAGTTATTCCCATTATATACGTATAAAAGTCTTATGTCATATTCGAAAGTGTGTATCTTCTGCAAGCATTGTTTTGGTTTCTTTGTCTTACTACAAAAATCTTACATTTGTTTTCCGCTTGTAGCGCCAACAATTCTTCAAATGTGTAGCCACTGTTGCGTGCGTTCAAGCTTTCTTTCCAAGTTTGGCGTCAAAAAAATAAATATCTGATGATTCAATAGTTTTCCATATATTATTGCCATAGTTTTGTTGTCATTGACATTCGTTCTCTCCACCCTTTCGACGTGATGTTCTTTTGTTTCATGATGGCAGGCAGCCGCATCATACTGGTACAGATTTTTATGCTTTCGAATTCGCTAAAGTGAGTAAATCTCAGTATATATGGTGTATCCTTTAATTGTTTCTGAATAGTATGTGCGTGTTTTTTCGTCGCTGGATGAAACAAATTGTGTGATATGACTGCTTCATTCTCTCCGTACTTGCTGTTAGTGTTATTAGCATTTTTGATAACATTTCTCGTCTATTTTATTACATAAATACGTATGTGATCAAATGAGTGAGCGTGTTTTTATTTTTCCTGTTTGTTTTTGTATTTTTTTTTATCATTTTTCTTCTTCGGTTTTTATCTATATTTTTGGTTGTATTATTGTCGGGCTTTGATCTTTCATTTTACGATGTGATTTTCTTTTCTCAAAGATTTTTTTTCGTTCTATTTCGATGTCTGTCTGCCTGTTTCTCTCTTTTCTTTTCTCTCCCTTTCTCTTTCTCATGCTCAAACACACACACACACACACACACACATATACAGGCAAGTCTAACACTCTTGTGTGCTTTCTCGCGAACATGTTTAGTTCGGTTTTTGGTTAGCTATATATATATATATATGCGCTCGTTTTATTTATTTTATTCAGACTTTGTGTCACCATAGAAATGTCATTTTATGTCTCATTGCTAGTATGTGAAAATGACGACTCTTTATTTAACATCCGTTTAAATTTTTAGGGTCGGACAATGCGAGTGGATGAATATATGTATGATTGTGTATGTGCTGTTGTTGTTGTTGTAAAGTAGTTGTAGTTATTTTTGTTTTGTTGTTGTGATGGTATGTATGCATTTATGTAAGCTGCTTGTCATCCACAAATTGCGACCAACCGGATGAATGAACAAATGAGCACAGAAACGGTATAGAACGAATGGCGGCAGAAAGAATAATAAAATCTTTTACATTGTAGACACAATTTCTTTACACCGTTTTAGCTTTCCTAATAATTCCATCATGTATTTATATTTGACATTTTCCGCCTTATCTCACTGTATAATCGATCGTACTATTTTAGTTGTATGTGTATGTGACTGACATAACATAAAACAACTGATTTGATGTAATTGGACAATTGTTTTATTATTTACTCGTAACTGTGTGACAGTAGAATCAAAAGACTTACTTGTGTAATTGAAAGTTGTGAGGTCAAAAGATTGGGGCAATACTCAACAGTCAACTCATTTATCCATATCAAATGGTTTTATAAAGATGAGTTGACTAAGGTGCCACAAAAAATGGAAAAACATACTCCTTTTGAGCAGACTTTATCCTCCAGCCATGGCAATGTCATTCATTTTATAGTTTTTAGTACTTATCTTCTCAAACTAGTTTTGAGTCGCTGATTTTTAAAATGTAATTGTTTTATTGAAAAATATCAAATTTGTTTGCCTTAATATCTTACTAACCAATCTGGATTTTTAAGAAGATCCCGAAATCCATGTACACGTGCAGACTTTCATAAGAAATTGATTTTTTTTTTAAAGTAAAATTGACAGAGACTATTTTTTAATGATACCTTTTGATGTGGGCTGTTTGCACTCTCAAATTAATTCCAAAAACTGGTAAACGAATAATATTCACGAAATGAGACGAACAAATCTTATGAGAGACTGTAAGCAATCATTTTTCTGTCGTTTCTCTAGTTTTCGAATTCTTTATAGGTTGTTTAAATAGTCGTGTATACAATACAAATATTAAAATTCGAAAATTGCACTTTAAATAGAAGCTTCAAATTCATGTAAAAAGTAATGTTACATTTCCAACTTCTTGAAACCAGATCAAAGGGAAATTATTAGATGCTTTTTAAATAGGTTTGTTTGTCATTCTTTGATTGCATTTTTGTAATTTATATGTTAATATTGTTATGAAAGATCAAGTTTTCTGGTAAATAGCAATCAATATCGTTTGCGCTCGAATGTGAGTGACAACACTTGAAATTTATGATGTCTGTTTCTTACGGCAGCGACATCTCCTTTTCATTGATGCCTCACTCTCTTACCAAACTAAATAAATAGCTGTAATTTTAAAAATGTGTAAACAATCATATTTTCAAAAGAAAATTTGAGGCAGCGGCTATCAGTGAGATCCAATTCATGTTTTTTATACTAATACAGCGACGCATTAAGCAGTTGGTTGCGTTTGCATACCCAAAAAAAATGCATCGGTCGAAGAAAGAAATAAAAAATGCGAAAAAATGGCAACGGTAGTAGTTAAAGCATCGCCGGTGCACTCATGAGTACTACCTCTATTTCAAACGTTATCGGAAAGGTGGTTTTTGTCGTGTTTTTTTCGCTCACTATAAAGGGGTATCACATTCACCGAACACAATTAGACCTTTTGAATCTTCGCTATATAGTCACAAATGTGGTAAAATACGAACAAGAGAAATATACCATGTGAAACTATAAATTTCCAGACATTAATGACATGGACCAAGTGCCGTATTCTTTTTTTTTTTCACTTTTTCTCCACTCAGGTTTGTATGTCTATTGTGCAACATTGGCATGATAAACATTCTCATACGGGTTCAAAGTACCACTTCCATTCATTGTCAATAATATAGAAAAATGCACCTACGCCATCTCATTCTACGTTCAATAAACTAACAATTGTTGATGTATGAAAATGTGAATCAATGACACCAAAACGAATATAGATGGCGATGAAGATTTTTTTTGTGTGTGGTCAATATACAATGGCAGTGACATCAAACCAGGCAAGTGGCAAGTGACATCAAACCAGGCAAGTGGTTCTCTTCGGATCTGTGATGTCTTGAAATGCAAAAACAACGCAAAAAAGAAGCCAACGGTATCATCATCATCGGCATCAATATAATCATCATTGGCAACGGCAGTGATTTGGTAACAGCATACGACAAGACATAAAATAGATAGAGTGTGAACACCGTAGAATGAGAGTATGATGTGCCCATTATCACAAAGTAAAACCTGAGCTGTGATTATGGGCTCGTATTATAATGGGGCCTCTCTGATATATATATATATATATATTTGTTTATGCTACATGTTTATATAATGTCTGGAAAATGATCGCCACTGAGCGCACACCAAATTACCTTGTTCGTCTAAGGTTTCACATCTTTGTTTTTGCTCTTGCATTGTCACAGATAAAAAACATTGTCGTTTATTTGCATCCACTTAAATTATTTTAGTCTCGGTTGACCTCGTGGCAATCACAACAAAATTCAACGTTTTGTCTTCTTTCAAAGCAACAACATCGTAACATATAAGTAGCATTTCATTTCGGTTTGAATATAAATGGTGGGTTTTAATTCGAAATATGTTCGTTATACTTTTAATTGTGTTTTGTCTACGTTTTTAAATGGGAACTGGGTGATTTCAATGACGATGACGACGACGACGATGATGATAATGACGATGATGATAATGATGGAAGCGAGAGTTGAAAACAGTTTCTGAAAATAATTGGTCTATCGTATTGTTCCTATTTATTTGGAAGCGCTTGGTTATTTCTAACGACAT